TGTGCTGGATATTAATGAATAACTTTCTGGAAGCTGTTGTGCATTTTGTTGTAAATGTGCCATAGTGCATTTGCTGCAGTGGTGGTGTTCTGTGATACAAAATTACTATGAAAAAAAAAATCAAAGGAAGAATCTTTCCAAACTGTTATTTGCTTGCTTATGATAATTTTGTATATCCTGAACCAAAAGACAGTTTCTGTAAGATTCAGTAGGTAATTACTGAGAGAGCATACTTTCTGCCATTTACAGGTTCAGCCCTCAAGTAATAGGAAGCACTTCTATTATTCCAACCTCTAGAGGCATCTATGTGCTTGCCTTTCATCTATAGGCAAATTTGAAAACATTTGCCTATATATATGCATATGTTGACAAGTTAGTCTTGTGTGATAGTCCTAGATCTTGGAATTAAGCGCAGCCAACTAATGTTGAATTAATGCTTATTAATATCAAGGGGAGTTTTGTTTCCCGAATGTAGTAAACAATTATGATTTTATAAAATAAAGTAACTCAGCTATGAAGTCTGACCCAGTTGCTCTGGGTTTGATCCAACTGAGTCTTACAGGCTACCAACGATGTAAATTGCAATCTCCCCGAGCATCCAGTTTGTTTCCTGGACTGTCCTCACAGAATAGAAAATAATCGTTTCCTTACATCCAACTCTGATCCTCTTTGGTTTCACTTCGCATCTCCCATCATGGCACATACCTCTGTGAAATGTCTGGCTCTATATTCTCCGTAACTTCTTCACACATCCTAAGAATGTGCCCTCAGAACCATTTCTTTCCAGACAGAACAGTCCCAGATCCTAGAGCAAGCAACCCAGCTTGGTTGCTCTCCACTGAACTACCATCAGTTCTGCATCACATAACTGGGCTGGACCCAGAACCAGATGCAGTATTAAATGTAATCTAGTGAGCACCAAGAAGAGATAATAAGTTCCCCTGACCTACTATCTGTGCTTTGGTCACACAGCCCTGGATGCCAACAGCCTTTTATACTGAATGGATCCATAACCCTCTGCTTCACATTGTACATGATATTTGTTCAAAGATTTCATTAATTTTGCTTGGTTCTGATGTTAATTCTGGATTCCTGATGATCACAGGATGCTCTGAAACATGCTTTATTTCTATTCTGTACATACTGATTTCTGTCTTTTTTGAAGTGAATTGTCTTGTTGCATTGGTGATAAACAGTGAACAGCAAACTTGTGAAGATCTCAAAAGAACTAAAGCACATCAACACTGCTATGTGGAAAATGACTCTGTGAAAGTTCAAACTGAAAAAGCAAGCGGCCTTCCAGAATGATCCATGCTAAAGATAAAGATGACCCTTGCTATATAGGTCATGGTGTCACAGGAGTTTGTTTTTCAGTTTTCCACACTTGCAGAACTGTTCACTACCCAAACTGAACAAAGTATGGTGACCTGAATGCACTAAAGTAGTTGAGCCTTCAGACTGATTATAAACTTCCAAAGTAGCATCAGAAAGTGCTTCGATCTTGGATTTCATTTGCAGCGTAAACTAGTGTTTCAACAGTAGGTCTGGGAGCAGCCCTAAAGCACTACATTGCTTCCAGGAAAAGTGAGGTAAACATAGTAGAAAAAGATATCTGACAACATGAGCAGTGGAGCTTTTGTGCTGTGAGAGACACTTTGTTCCTCAAATCTATCACAGTGATGGCGTCATGATATGGATCTGCTCTGTGCCACAAAACATAACTTCCTCATTCAGCATAAGTCAAGGTATCAAAAATGCACCAGAAGATAAATTCTGTTTCTTGGTTCAGTTTCTTACGTATAATCATAAAAGCAGGAAAGATAAAAGAATATGAGAGGGTGGTATCACATGAAATGAATGGAAAACAAAAAAGAGATGTAGTTGGGATATCATCAGTTTCTCAAAAGGATGTAAAAATGAGTGGTTTAAACTAAATTATTTCTGAGTCATATGTTTTTCAACAGGTATGTTGACAGTATATGAGACAGACTTCTCAAGGAGAAAGCATGGGAAGAATATTGGGTGTGAAGAAGATAAAAAATTATATCACTCACTTCAAAGAACAAGGAAACATTTTTTTCCCTCTTCTTGCTCAGAAATAAAACCTGCAATCTGGTATCACACAAACCAATGTCAAATCAGTATGGTAGGTTAAGTACAGAGTTTCCCAAAATGAACTAAGGTATTTTTTTGCATCTCTCTCGACTTCTCTATAAAAGGTTTTTTTTCAAGTGCATTGGTTTTCCAAGCACATACAGCTACTTTTTCACTACAATAAAGGTATGACCACCTGCTCAGTAGAAAAAATATTTTAGAGAGAAAATCGTCATGTATTGTATGTGATGTTGGTTTTTTTTCCAGCTACTTCTCAACTACTTTCTAGTAGATAGAGCATTTGATTCGCTTGCGTGCCCTGGATCTTGAAGGTAGTTACTGTGAATCATGCTGCCCATGTTCATTCTTGCTGTGCAATACACATCTCTCCTTAATAGCATAAAAGTATCATGATAAACCAGACAACGCATATCACAGAAATTTAATAGATTCAGTAATAGTGAGGTTCTTAATGAAATCACTATATTCGTGTGAGTCCCTAGAATTCTTCTAAGGGAACTCTGTCATGGATGAAAATTAGGTGAACTGTCATTAATTGAAACAAAGCGAAGAATCATTTTATATCTTTGGAAGCAAATGCTTTATAAATCCCAATTATTGTAGCAAGGATGGGAAAATCTGATGGAAAGAGTTTAAAACTTATTTTACATTTGGAAATAAGTAGCTTTTGAACAGAGCATTGGTCATTAGGTCTTTTACATCCTAGTTCTCCTGCTTGTTTCACGTAAGACAATTCAGTAGAATATTTCAGTATAGTTTAGCATATTTAGAGAAGAGGCTACAGATAGACAAGCTGCCTGATTGAACAGTTGTTACTATTGGTTTTCACAGAATTCACAATAGTTCTGTTGTCTATATTTCAACTTTTTACACTATGACTTGTACATACAAATCTGCCTGTTGACTTGGCAGACAGCCTACAGCCAAGACAAATTCTCATCTAATTCACTGAAGAGGTACAGAGATAAAGTAAAAATCTTTTCTCTAAGCACTGGAACTGGAATAGGAAGTTTAACCCTATCAGTGTGTACCAGGATTTGGAACAGCTGCTTCTGACACTCTGAAAATTAGGTTTTACATGACTGAGGAGAGCACAGGCATGAGACAACTGCCCCTGCTACTCCTGTGTGAGACTGATTGAACAGAATGGTCTTCTGGCCTTACCTAGGAATGGTTGCTTCCTTCCATTGGGAAAGATGTGGCATTTTACGTAATGAAAATATTTTGATTTTTTTGACCCATCTTAGTCAAGCCGCCCCTCTCAGCAGTCAAAAAACCTCCAGCATACAATTTTCCATAATTAAAAAACAAATTACACTTTCCCAAGGGCTGTGCAAGGTTTGGAAGGGAGAAGAGGGGTGCATGTTGGATCCTTCAGAGCTAAGCAGAAATGCTGTGAGCCAGTGCTACACGATTATTACCCCTTGACACTGCTACTGGAAACTGTCAGATCTACTCCCCTTTGAATTAACAGGATTTCAGCTGTTGACACTTGACTTTTCTGAGCAGGTATTCTGGTGATGTTGGCAGTATTTGGTTATCCCAGGGTACACCATTTTGCAGAAGCAGTGATTCTGTTACAGAGTGGGAGAAATAGTTTGGAGTTTGTTTGTTCTTCGACTGTTCAGACCTAAAGAAACTCCTTGCTTCATCTGAACAGTTCCTACCATGACCACCACCAGAGTACAAAGTAGCAACAGGAACTCCAAGAGCTGATACCTCTATCATGCTCTCTTTATGTTCTGCAGAGTCCAGTTTGCTCCATGCAAAGTGGCCAGACTCCTCCCTCCAGATTCTGTTAGGTGTATAAAAAAATCTAGCAGTGACAAGTAAGAACCCTGTATGTAGAGCATGAAGAGAAAAACATCTCTCTTCAATTTTGTGTGACAACTGTTAATTTTATTATATGAAGCAAACACATGAGAAAATTGCTTTGAACAGGCATATATTACTTTTTTTCTCCCCCCCCCCTTTTTTTTTTTGTGTGTGTGTGAAATAAACTGATGATCAGAATGGAAATATAAGGTTTTAAGCTTCTTTTAGCTAAAAAGAGGAAAAAAAGCATCTTAGATTTTCATGAGACCGAACATAAGAAAAGAGAGAGAGCAAAATGCCTTCATTTCTGCAAAATGTTCAAAATTGTAACCGATGATTTTTCAGTTTCTTCTGGGAAAAGACTACTGAACGAGGCAACCACTGTACGTAGTTTTGCTCTCCAAGCCTGCATCTCTAGTCAGCTGGAACTCAGCAGCAGAGTTGAAATCAAATGACACTCCTTTTACACCTGTACCTTCGGGACTTCTCTAATTTTGATAGCTGGAGAGGGGACATGGTTGTGCATTTAATCTACAACAGTTTTCTACGGGAAGGGTTGTTTTTGCAGAAGCTTCATATTGTTTACTTTTTGCTGATTTTATTCAGTGCCATTTTACATTAAAAAAGCAAATACACACAAAAACAAACCGACCTATCCATGTGCAGCTACAGCCAAGCAACCCCAACATTTCTAAACTCAATTGCTGACCGTGTGAACAACCACCGCTAGCAGAGCCCAGACCCTCAGACCTGCTGCAGGCATTTCGAACACGGCAGAGAGCACATGTGGAGTGCTTGCTTAAGCACGCAAATATTACGCCAACAGCGCAAATAGCTTTTCCTAGCAACCCCGACGTGCTATTGTGCAGCATGTGCTCTCCCTTGCGGTAGACAGCCCCGAATCCGGGCTTGCTCTTAGCAGCCCCGACGCCGCTACAGGTGGCCGCGCGGAATTCATGCTGCCGGCGGAGACCGGACGCGAACCTGTCGCGGCGCTGCGACGCGGCCGGCAGGCGGCGCCATAACGCAGAGGGCTGGGCGCCCCGCAACCCCGTCCCGCCGCTACTCACCATGTTGACTTCAGACACCACGTCGATGCTGGCGATCTCGATCCGCATGCCCACGTCGACGGGCGGACCTGCGCGGGGGGGGAGGGAGGGAGGAAGGGGAAGCGGGAGCCGGTGTTAGACGGAGATCCGCCGGTCATCGGGCCGGGGAGCGAGAAGTGCGGGCGCCTCACCTCCGAAGTCAGGCCTGAGGCGGATATCGTAGCCGTGCAGCAGCCTGTCCACCGTCTCCTTCACGTAGGACATGTTGCTGGGCTCATCGGCGCTGCGGGAAGGAGCGGAACCAAGTCAGGGAGGCGGCCGCTGCCCCGCGCCCCTCCCCGACCCGGCAGCGCTCACCTGCGCGCCGCGCACCCCACGGCCAGCACCAGGGACAGCGACAGCGCCCATGGGCCGCTCCCCCTCGCCGCTCTCATCCCGGCCCCGGCCGCGCCTACGCCTGTCGGGGGCGACTGCAAGTTGGAACGGAGCGGAGCAACAATTGCCGGCAGCGCAGCGCATGCGCCGAGCGGAGTGCCGTGGGCACCGGTATCTTTGTTAGCCTGCGTAACGCAGGTGCCGTGAGTGCTGTCGTTTGGCCGTGAGAGCTGCTACAATGAACGCACTTTTCTTTTCTTCCTCTTTTAATCACCTCCTAGCTCAACTCAGTGGAACTTCGGCGTTGCTGTTGTGAATTCTTAACGTTTTCTAGTCATGATTATTGTATGCTGTAGTTGTACTGGTGATCAGATGTGATTGGTGCTGCTGGGCATACAGCACTCGACATGTACTAAAAGTTTGAAAACACGGTCCTGATAAAGTTACCTGGTTTCTTTTAAACACTGAATTAGGGTTTTTTCCGTGGGACTGGAGTCCCTTTGGTCTTCTCGATTCTTTGCAGCATTCTGTCTTCTACATAATTCTAACTTTGCCAAAAGCTGTGTGGCAGTCAACTACAGCTGTACTAAAAGGAGACGCCTGCTCTGTCTGGCCTGCTAAAATCTGTCATAAGGTGTGAGCGCAGGGGATTATCCTATGTAAATTCTCATTTCTGTATGGTTTAAGGCAACTGTACTTCAGAGTAGCTGTTCTGCTGGCAGCCTGTCAGTGTGAGGTGCGTTTCTGAAGCTCCTTTTGGGATGGTTGGGATCTAAGCTGGGCTCTGGAAGCAGCTGCAGACACCTTGCTGTGCAAAGAGAATGCTGGGAAGGCTCTCAGTGACTGGGGGCTGAGAGCAGGGATTTGTGTGGGGCTCTGAACAACACACCTCAAGAGTGCTGACATTACATGGCCACAGCAAGCAGCAAGAAGGCTCCTTTCTGGCTCATTTGGGGTGGGTGATGGCACCATGATGGAACTTATCTTCCAAATGCTTCCAAGGCTGAATTATTATTAACAGCAGAACCTCTGTGCTCTGATATACTATCAGTTGAAACACTCTGTGGTTTTATAGGATGTGTAAAGAATACTGAGGTTCTGTTTTCTTCTTGAAAGATTTATTTCTAGAAAGAAAACATAGTGTGCTTCTCCAGGCCACCAGTGTAGCAGAATCTTGTCTTTCATTTGAATAAAAAATTAGACATCCTAGTATCCTTCTGCAGCTCTTTAATACCTGTGATAAAGAACCATGACTTCTAAAATGAGTGACTGTGGCAAAGAGGCTAACTTTCATAGGCCTTATATTATCACAGACATGTTCTAAAAGCTATCAAAGATGACGAGACACTTGGTGGTCTGATTTTATGAAACTGAAGCTTCTTCTGCAGCCAATAAACTTGATTCAGAAAAGTGCAATGCATGATTCCATATGCTCTAGATTTTTATTCTCCCTCTTGGGCTGAGTGAAACCTGATAGGTTCCCTGTGTGGCCTTCTGGACTCCTGGAGCTGCTTGAGTGCCCTAAAAGTCAGACACGCAGGGATGTGTGACTCTGGTCTGTGTTGCTTTGCATTGCTGGAAATCAGATTGTGCTTTAAAACATTGCTGATAGTAATTGCAAATTCTTCTCCTGCTCATTTCTGCACTGAGCTTAGTATTGGCAGGGTCAACGAGAGAGATGCATAGATTTTCAGGAGGAAACCTTTTTTCTCATGCAGAGAAATGTTTCCAGTTTATTAAAAGTCATTTTATCTCAGTGCTCTTTTTCATTTGGAAATCAGAAAGTGCACAGTATAAAAAGCCAGTGCATTGCTCAGATAATATCAGCTGCTTAAGAAGAATGTATCATTGGAATCATTGAGAAAAGAAGGATATCCTTGTTTTTCACTGGATGCATTCTGTAGGAAGGAAGGCTGTGATTTTTTAATAAAACTAGGGAAAAAAAAAAACATTGTAAAAGTGATGATTATGCATCTCTTTCTAGTGATACATTATGCCATTTAAAATATGTAGAAGGAGGGCAGGTGTGTCCCCATGATACCTGCTCAAAATGGAGAGGAGGAGCTCCATGCTTCACTCCTTGCTTTTTATATGTGGAGATACAGACTTTGAAAGTTAATATTTGTGTTGCTGACTGGCTTGAGTAATCAGACCCAAGGATTTGCAGAAACAAGATGCTCATAAACCAGGTGGTCTAACTGGACGTATTGTTCTCCAGTTAGTAGGGAGAATTACTGGGTGAAAGCAAGGCTGGAGGTAAGTGTGAAAGCAGCATCATTAATGAGCAAAACTGCTTTACATTGGCACAGTGTGCACATAAGGCAAAAAAAAAAAAAAAAAAAAAAAAAAAAATTAAAAAACGATCCAACAAACATAAGGCAAAGCAGGCTCTTTGGATTATTCATTATCAGACAGCTGCTTCCCACCAGGCTATGGGGCTTGTTATACTGCGTATCCCCTATGTCAAAGAAAAATGAGAATTAGGAGGGATAAATATTTTTCTTACTTGGCGCTGAGCAAATGGTCTTTTTCAGTAATTTTACTGATAAAATATATTAATAATTTAAGATGAAAATTTTAAATTTGTAACAAAATAGGGTAAACGATCAGGTTTGAAAACTATGAAACAAAACCTACGAACTGTGAAATGACTACATGTGCAGGTGAAAAAATATGTATTACTTATACTTAAAAGCAATTGGTAACAAAATAGGTCACATATTTGATCTGCTAGAGGTAATGCTATTGTCATTTTATTACCTACAGTAATCCCTTGAATCAGATGCAGCTAGTGAGCAGTCTTCTTGGATGACGGAAAATAACAAGCTAGAGATAATTCTAGTGTGCTCTGGGGATTTCAGAGCACTAGAAAAACAACCAAGAAGAGCTGTGGAGTGTCACAGTGAACTTGTGCTTTATCCTGAGATCTTCAGACTGTGAATTGTTCTTAGTTTTATAATAAAGTGAGAACAATATATTTAATAAGAACTCTAGGACAAAAATTGTTCTTCCGTATCCATAGCCAAAATAATTTAGTGACTTTTTAGTCACTTCAAATAAACATCTGAAATGCTAATTTGAAATCCCTTTGTAGACCTTCCAGCTGCATGTCTTTACCATTCACCTAACATCCTTAACTCTGCAGAGCTGGCTTCCTCTGGAGGAGCACTAGTCCAGCACTGCATGCCTAATATCAGAACCCCTCCACTGGCAGTGTGTCTGCATGTCCCACTTCATGCTACCTGAAGGAAGCAATTCTGCTAATCTTCTGTTTCTTCATCCCAGGTGTGGGAGCCTCAGTTTATTTCAAGAGCAGTAGAGTCTGGAGATGCAGGTCTTTGAGACAGTAACTGCAGAGATTAATAGAAAAGGCAATTCTGGCTTCCAGAACGAGTCAGGAAGACATTAAACAAGTGTTGACATGGGCATGAAGAAGGTGCAGGCAGCAATTAGCCTGTATACATTTGCATTATTTAGAGGCCTTGGTGTTTTAACCACAAGCAGCCAGCAGTCTTAAGTGTCATCAGGACAATGCAGGCAATTATAGACAGAACTGCAGAGTTAGGTTTTTAGGAGAAATTTAAAGAACATAGAGAAGAAATAATAGATGTGTCAATGTTATCATTTCTATTGAAATGAATTTCAGGTGCTTTCTATCATGCAGTTCCCAACAACTGAGGTTTCTGTCAGTGCTGGTGCGATGTCAGAAGCACAGTGGAAAGAGACATAGCCTGATGTGCAAACTCACATGTAGAAACGGGCAGCTCCCTTGATTTAAATAGGCTAATTCAGAAAGTTCTATGTGTGTTTGTGGGATCAAGACCTTTGCTTGTAAGCTTTTTGGGCCTGGTACTGTCTCTATACGTATGGGTAATTATTTTGTAGAAGAAATGAAACTCTTACTAGGATGGCACAGATTATTTTTTCTGATAAATGGAATTAATTCTCTCTAGCTTTGCTTTTGCATCTGCATCTGAAGAAGCTCATGGCAAAAGTATTTAAACTGTCAGATTGAATATGTTTTTTTTAAAAAGCTGTGAATAGAGAAATGCACATTTTTTTTTTTTTTTTTAATAGAAGTATTTTACTACACTGGGCCACTAGAATGCAATGTGTCTCTTTGTCCTATTTCAGTGATGTGATGCACTTACTCATAGAGATGCCTGTGAATCTGTGGCTCATATAAATAAGAGCCTAGCTTGTTTTCCTCCATCTATAAGGAGACAGAGTTGCTGAATTCAGTCACAAAAGCAACTTTTCTGGAGATATTACTCAGAATGAACTTTACTTTGAGAAAAGAGATTTTTTTGCATTATTTACTCTCAAGAAGTTTAGAATTTAAAAATATTCCTTTCCAAGCTCTGAGAAACTTTATCTATCTTTGAGGTTAGTTCAACCTGGAGAAGGAGTTGAATGTGGCTCAGAAAATGAGCAGCAGGAAGCTCAGTAATTTCCCCTTCCAATCCTTTTCTGTGATTTTGTTACTCGAAAGGATGGTAACACCACTTTCTTTCTCTGCTAATGGTTTGCCGTTCTTCCATGGAAACTGTAGTTCTAAGCTCTTTAAGTCCTTTCTCATCTAGAGTAGCTCCTGCCCTCTTGGTGTTCTACAGTGCTTGGAAATTTGAAGGTCCTAGCTACTTTTCCTTAAAGCAAATGTTGTTGTTGTTGTTTATTTATTTATTTATTTATTTATTTTTAATTTTTAACTTCAGTCTGATTGGGGGTTAAAAATGGCATTTTCCATTGGCTGGGGCTTCTGGTTTTCAAATTAGATCTATCTAAAAATTTCCTTAATGCATTTGGGAACTGTTTCCCAATTCCACACACATCTTAAATAGCCAACTTCAATAAGAAAAGAAACACTTGATTGAGATTTTGTAAACTCGTTTTTAAGGTGTTATGCTCACATTGGTAAAACTTAAAGAGTAAAGGCTACAACAGAGCTACTGCAAATAGGAACTGTTCTCTGTCCTCTTGTCACTGCACCCACCTCATAAAAAGTAGACATTTTGTAATTCCACTTCATCTATAATGTTGTCTGCTGCCTCCAAGGACA